CAGGGGAACTCAGATTATATTGTTGGTGCTTGGGAAATTATACTGAAAGCTAGTAAGCTGTTGACAGTCTGTACCTTGGGCACTTCAGGGGAAGGGAAGGAGGCAGGAGGAAAGAGGAACAGAGCCACGTCAGGATTGCACAAGGGACAGCAGAGACCAGGTGATGAGAAAGAGTGTAGGCTCCTCCCGGCTCCTCGTGAAGGCCACCTTGGCTGTTGCGACCTTCTACAGTTATGACAGGACACTGGCTGAAATTCAGGTATACCTCAGGAAATTGTCTTAAAAATAAATCTGTTGCCAACAGAGAATGGATGAGAAAATGAATGCTTTTTACTTGTATACTGTACATAAAAGTTGCCTTTGGAGAGCTGTGTTGAATACTCTGCTAGTTTGCTGGGGCTGCCGTAATCAAGTACCCAAGATGACTTACCAGAAATTCATTGTCTTATAGTCCTGGAGACTAAAGTCCAAAATCAAGGTGTCATCAGTGTTAGTTTCTTCTGAGGGAGGGCTCTATGCCAGGCCTCTCCTTGGCTTATAGACGGCCTTCTCCCTCTTCACATCATCTTCCCTTTGTCATGTCTGTCTTTGTATCCAGATTTTCCCTTACTAGGACACCAGTCCTAATACTGGATTAGGGCGCACTTTAGTGATGTCATCTTAACTAATTACATCTGCAGTGTCCATGTTTCCTGATAACATGACATTTTGTGGTACTAGGGCTTGGATCTCAACATAACAATTTTGCAGGGGGACATGATTCAACCTGTAATACACACTTTAAAAAAATCATAGGGCGTGGGGCCAGGTGCGGTGGTTCATGGCTGTGCGCTCAACACTTTGGGAGGCTGAAGTGGGTGGATCACTTGAGGTCAGGAGTTCAAGACCAACCTGGCCAACATGGTGAAACCCCGTCTCTACTAAAAATACAAAAATTAGCTGGGCATGGTGGCACGCACCTATAGTCTTAGCTACTGAGGCGGGAGAATCACTTGAACCCAGGATATGGAGGTTGCAGTGAGCCAAGATCATGCCACTGCACTTCAGCCTAGATAACAGCAAGACTCTCTCAAAAAAAAAAGAAAAAAAAAGAAAACAGTGTGGACAGTCAGTGGCACATTCGAGTGGGAATCATTCATTTATGCAGGCAACCTTAGACTGGTCTGTGCTGCTATAACCGAATACCCAAGACTGGGTAATTTATGAAGAACAGAAATTTATTTCCTCACAACTCCAAAGGCTGAGAAGTCCAAGATCAAGGCACCAGCATCTGGTGTGAGCCTTTCTGCTGGGCTGTAACATGATGGAATGCATCACATGGAGAAGGGAGGGAGGAAGAGAGGGGAGAGAGAGAACAAGAGCAAGAGTGAGCCTGCCTTGTCCTTTAATAAGGACCCCACTCCCACATCCATTCCATTCATGCAGGCAGTGTCCCCATGACCCTAACTCCTCCCATGAGGCCTCGCCTCCCAACACGGATTAGGGATCAAGTTTCCAGCAAATGAACTTTAAGGAACACATCCAAACCATTGCACAACCAGTACAACAGTTTGGGCTCACACACCGGCTCTGGCCTTGGGAATATCACTTCACCTCTTTGACCCTCAGATTCTATTATGTAAAAAGAAGGAATATAGTAAATTTTCAAATGCTTTTTATTTAGATCCAAAATTCTAAACAATAACATTTTAAAATGAGGAAATAAATGGTGAATTCATATACTTTTATCAAGACTCAAATTCTAATTTCTAATTTCTAATTTCTAAAGCTTAATAATACTAAGTACAGGTTGAATGTTCCTTATCTGAAATGCTTGGGACCAGAAGTGTTTTAAATTTCAGATTTTTTTGGATTTTGGAATAGTTATATAAACGTAATGAGGTGTCTTGGGGATAGGGCCCAAGTCTAAATTCATTTAAATTTTATATACACCTTAATTTTATACAATATATTTAATGATTTTATACATTAATCAGAGTTTTGACTGTGACCTATCACATGAGATCAGGTGTGGAATTTCCCATTTGTGACGCCATGTTAGCACTCAGAATGTTTTAGATTTTGAAGCATTTCAGATTTCATATTTTCTGATAAGGAATTTTTAACCTGTGTTTTGGTCAGGGTTGGCTAACTGCTGTAACAAACAACCCCAAACTTCCAGCAGCTAATCCAGTGGGCAGCCTTCTTCCAAAGGTAAAGATTCAGGCCGCTGCTGTCTTGTAGCTCTGACCTCTTGTTTTGGGAACATGCTCCCATCAGAAAGAGACGAGAACGTCTCTTTTAGGAGGTTGCTATGGACCAGGCCTGGAAGGGATGCGTGTTGCTTACACTCACATTGTATCAGCCAGAACGCAGTCATATGGCCACACCTGCAAGGTAACCTGGGAAATGTAGTCTGGCCGGATGCCCAGGAAGAAGAGATGAACACTACCTATTTCAGCCAAACTCTGCCAAAAAGAAAAGTGATGGTGCAGTTTCAGGAACTGTAGTGCATCACAAAAATGTGAATGAAGAGAGATAAAGCCACAGTGTCAAAGTCTAAAACAAGTATTTTCACTTTTTAGGTAATGTCTAACATTTAGAGAAACCGGTGTCGTAAGAATGTCAGGAACCTCAGTGGTATTGAGGGTATACATTTTCTCCACTTTTCAGGCTGTAGTTTCACCAACAGTTGGCTTTTCAGTTCACTGGAAGAGACTTGAGAGCTTGAAATGGCATTGGTGCCATGTTCTGAAACACAGGGTGTGCACATTGGTTTCAGTAAACAGGGTCCAAAGAGATGTAGTTGCTAGGTGTTTTTGTGTTTACTATAAACAAATCACTAGCCAAAAAATTAATTGTATTCCCTACTGTGCTCTGCACTTCTTGTAATAAGAAGAAACACACTGGAATAATTACAGGCTGCAAAACAAATGATGGGCTTGCTACTCAAAGCATGACCCATGGGCCTGCAATATTGTCATCATCTGGCAGGTTTTTAATTTTTTTTTTTTTTTTTTTTTTTTTTT